GACTGACAGCACTGTAAAGCCTGGAGTGGATCAGACTGCTGGGGGTCAGAATAAAAAATACTGTATACTCTCCTTCAGCCATGACTGTGAAATATAGTGGCACAGACACTACAACTAAACATTTAGACAACAGGAAATGATCCACAGCCAGAGAAAGCCATCTCATCTCTGGACTAGAACAGTAATGTTCAGAAGCAGGGTATCTGGATATTTTTATTTTTCCACAAATGTCCCTTAACACACTAACGCCCTCCATCCACAAATTCACAGACAGGCACCCCAGCCACACACAAGGCAGGTCCCACAGACAGCAGACCCACACAGAAGCGGACACGCACTGCCACACAAACCAACGCCCCTGACCCAGTCACAGACCAATGAGTCAAGACGCGAACCAGCGCTCCCTCGACCACATCCACAGGCGACAACCCGACTTCGGCTACCGAGGAGTGTCCACCGGTCGCCGCGACTGGATCGAGTACCTCGGGCTGTGGGAGCGAGAGCCGATCCCGGCCAGACGGACAGGCCCGAACTCCGCGACCCGGTTACGCGTCCCACACTTCCTCCTGCGACGCGGCGACTGGGCCGCGTCTCCGTCTCCAACCCCGCACGCCCGGCCGCGCAGGGGCCACGGACGGGCCCCCGGCGAGCCGCGACGAGGCCGTGCGGAGGCCGCCTGCCGGCGAGCGGCCTGCCGCGTCTGTGCGGGGTCGCCTTCACTCGCAGCCCGGCTCCGTCCCTCTCCGAGCTGGCCCGGGCCGGAGCCCAGGCCCCTGTGGCGCAGTCGAGACCCGGGCCTGACGCTCGGCCCACAAGGCGAACTCTCTGCTCTCTCTCTCTCTCGCCCTGGTCGCGCTCAGACCCCGAAAAGCGAGGTGAAAACTCTTCGAATATCTCGACCTCTCGGGCCCTGTGCCTCTATGCCTGACCCCCCTCCCTCACCACCATCGCCGCCTCCTCCGCCGCCTCTCTCTCCCCCATCTAGGCCGATCTGCCCCCTCGCTACCTCGATCGCGATCCTTCTTCCCTCCGGGGCCGGAGCCGTCCCCTTGCTATGCCCACGCCCGTGGGGAGCGGCGCTCTCCCGACCCCACTCACCATCAGCTCCAGGCTCTTGTCCTCCATGTCCGGCTCCATGTTGTTGTTCCCCCGAAACTCGCTGCGAAAATGGAAACCCAGCCCTGCGTCACTGCGCACGCCGCCCCCGCCCGAGGCCCTGACGTCATCAACGTCATTGCGCAGCTGGGGAGGGGGGAGTGGGCGGGGCGGTAAAACCTCTTCCCAAGTCTCTCGCCTCCCCCCTCTTTGGTTCCCCTCTGCGGCGGTGGCCAATCCTGGGCTGGCTTTCAATTGTGCTTTGGGCACCAGTGAAGCCGAGACCCGCCATAGTCAGTTGTGGCAACCATTGAGTTCAGACAAGGCGATGTGAAAGCTGGACATTTCTCATAATCGACATGTCTTTCACACACATCGACAGAGTAGCATTATTCGATGTTACACAGCGTAAAAAGTCGTGACTGGGGCTGGGGGAAACCCCAAGTGATTGTGGAGGCTCCACCTGGGGTACTGTGAACCCTGAGGGATTGGGGTGACCTCAGCCAGGTTACTGTGCTGTGAACCCTGAGGGATTGGGGTACTGTGTTGGGGGGGGGCTCTCTGATTTAGGGTGTGCTACAAGACTAGCCTCACCAGGGCTCCAGGATCATGAAGCTGTCATACAAGACAAAGCAGCTCCCTCCCTCCGCCACTCTTCTTACAAGCTTCTGCCACCGCTGGCAGAGCCCCAGGGATCCAGGATACTCCAGCTCTCTACAACCGAGCTTCCCTGCTGCTCTCGGACGGCGTTGGGGGCCCAGTCCCTACTGTCCCGGCCGGGACAGGCCATGCTTCCCGCATGGAGACGAAAAGCAAAGAATCACAGCGAGAAGGGGGGTGGAGGAGCAAGGAGGAATATGAAACATGAGCAAAACACAAATTCCAACTAAGCAAGAGGTCTTGGACTCGGCTTTGGGGCAGCATGGTGGTGCAGGCGTTAGCATTGCTGCCTTCGCAGAGCTGGGGCCCTGGCTCGGTGTGGAGGTTGTATGTTCCTCCCACCATCCATGTAAGACATGCTGGTAGGTTGACTTCTGGCAAAATTGCCACTGGTGTCAGTGTATCTGTGCCCTGCACTGGCATCCTGGCCAGGGTGTACCTGCCCTGTGCCCACTGCTTGCCAACATAGGCTCCAGTTCCCCTGTGACCCCGCATTGGAGGAAGTGGTGAGAAACTGGATGGATAGAGTTGCCTTTGGTAGACCCGTAATCAAATCCAGCACCTGCAGTCAAGATCTTCCATAGCTGAAAATGAGTTAAGTAGGAACCTAAATAAGCTCAATCAGAATACAGCAAAGACCCTATTTAGTTCATGTCATACAGCAGCATTACAGCACAGGACAAAACACATCTAGGCACCCAGTTCACCAAAAACCTAAACCTTTCTTTTGTCCCCCTAGTAGCCATTTCTACTCAAAGGACTGTGGTCTAGCAGATCAATTTTACAGAGGAGGGAGGAGCCCAAAATATATTCAGCATGAATGTGGACCCAGTGGAGAGTTTCTGAAACTCTGGGCTTGTTCCCCAAAAAAGTCAAAGACCAGCAAAGCTCCAGGCAAATTGGGATGGTTATGCTGGATGAAGTCTGACAGTTTGAACAGGTAATAATTCAGCATTCTTGGGCAGGTTTCACCTGCAGCACTGTTCACCCTTCAGTCAAACACCAGTCCTAACACCTGCATGATCTGTGGTTCTTCCGAAGCGATGAGTGATGAGTGATGAGTGATGGGGCATGCCTGTACCAGCACAAAGACGGCATCCCCACGGCCATGAGTATCAAGCAATGAAAAGCACAGGTGTAACCATCAGTGCACAGCCCCTGACAGTCTGCCTCCACAATCTGTCACAAACATCAGCACACCCGCCCTCCTTCCTTGTGTAGCCCAGACCCTCAGTAAACTGTGGTACAGTCCTCAGCTTAGCCCAGACCCACAGTAAACTAAAGTACAGCCCTCAGTGTAACCCAGACCCTCAGTAAACTGTAGTACAGTCCTCAGTGAAGCCCAGACCCACAGTAAACTGTAGCCCAGACCCACAGTAAACT